AATAATTTATAAACAGAAAGGAATATTTCTCAGTGGTGCTCCAAAGGCTGGTTGATCACATTGTCAGGTTTATGGACATAAATACAGAATGGTGTGGAAGGGTTCACGAGCTAGGCTCTTTCGGAACTCAGCTCTGTTTATGTTAATGAAGAAAAGACCATTCGCTCTCAGGATCACTATGGACATTAATGGTGCAGACATTGCTCTAGTTATCCTGGGAGTCCCAGCTGATCTTCAGCTTCCCCTGGTTAATGAAATGATTCACAGGCTGCCTGGATAGAAGGAAGGAACTGTTTAACTACTGCCTCAGGGTGGAGTGGAGTATGCATTTGGCTGTTTGAAAGGAAGGTGGTGCTGTTTGTGGAATAGATTGGAAGCAGCTGGGAAAAAAAGTCCCCTAACCTAGCAGCATGTTGTATTTTGCATAATATTTGTGAGAGTAAGGGAGAAAACCTTAACAATGGGTGGGAGGCTGAGGTGCAGAGACTTGTTTACTGGTTTGAGCAGCCAGCCAGGTGTCCAATACAAAATGGAAACAGCTGGGCAATATTGTCAGAGATGCCATTTGCTCTCATTTGGAATCCTAGGCCTGAAATTATGCAGCTGTATACCCAGTTGTTAACCCGTACCCACTCCCTCTAGAATGGATTGTGAGCAAGTCAGTGTTGTTCATGGCTGGTGGAGGTGCAATGTTGTGCCACTCCTCATTTTACCCTGTGTTTTTGCCTAGTTACTTTTGTAAAACCTTATGAATTCTATAAAACAATTTATTTCTGTATTAAATACTCTTAACTTCTTATGGATGAATTTTTCAGAGTTTTTGTTATTAAGCAATGTAGTATGTAACAAGCCAAAATAAAGGTTGAATTGAAATGATAATGAAAACGTTTAATTATGAAACAATATATTAAACAACAATTTATTGTCTAATAACTACAAGAAACCTTTAGTTAAAACAATAGTCAAACAACGTATCACGGTGCAGTGCAGGGCAAAAAACATGGGGCATGAAGTCATAAGTGAGTGTATGTCTTGCCTCTGCCTCTTCTTGTTTGTGGCCCTTCTGGAGTTGAATGGTGAGGCTTGATGTTACCAGGGGTGTTAGAGGGCTCAAAAGACCTGGGCTCCTAGGTGCAGCTATTCTCAGTACCCTGCCTTGGCTCTGTGAACGGAATGGCCCGTGGAAGCACTGCTCTGGGGAGTACAACAGGGAGGTGTTGCTTGTGTTTCCAGTATCCTGTATTGTCCAGGAGCTGCGGAACATAGCTGGGTCCCGGAACACTGCAGTGTCTGCTAACCTTGCGCGGCAGTGGAGCGGTTTGGCTTTGTACTGCCTCCAGGAGTTGCTGCTGCATTTCCTTGTCTTTTTTTTTAATGCTGTCTTTGGCCATGGCTGTGCTATCTCTGGCAACTGCCATCTCCTTTGGACTCTGCCAACCCTACCACTGAGCAGGTGGTGTGGCAGCAGCGGGAACTTCTGCAGCAGAGGAAGTGGGATGAGGATGTCCTTTGCAATTCCCATGATTTCTCTGTTTCCCTCTACACCTTCCAATTGTGCCTCCATCCTTCTGTTATTTTCAGGGTTTTTTGAGAGTCTGCAGTGATGTCCACAAACATTTGTCACAAGTTTTCTGTTTCCTCCACCTCAGGTTTGTGAGCTGCTCAGCCATTGATAAGGGCAGTGGCAGGTGCCATGCCTGTGAGTGTTTGTTCAAATTCTGGAGAGGCTGAGATAGCATTTTTTATATGCATTTTTGACTTTACCTCCCTGAGATTCTTACCATCTCTGAGGTTCCCCCAAGAGCGGGAAGTGGTGTGTGCATTTGGGTTTTTGTCTGTGCGGGATGTGCTGTTTGGCTTTGCTGTTGTGCCTTCGAGGGTGTATTGGCGTGGGTTGGGGTGGAGGGAGCAGTGTTGCAAATTTATGTTCCCAGTATGGTTTTGCAGCTTTGGTGTGCCTTGGAGGTGCCTATATGGTGTCAGAGGGATTAGCAGGGGGCATCTGGGGGTGAGCTGGATAGTAATGCCCCCTACGTCCTGTTTAAGGATAGCTTAACTCTGGGATGACTTTACACTGAGGTGAGTGACTAGGAAGCAGAAAATGCCCTTATTCAAAAAGGCAAAGAGCAGAACAGCAAAATACACAATGCAGATATTCACCAAGATGGTCCTCCGAGTGGAAGGGAATTGTGAACTACTCCTGTGGGGTAACCATGAAGCTGTTCCTCATTAGTGTCCAGACAAATGTGGAGCAATTTCTCAGTCATAGATTTTGCTTTATCTCCCCTGCAGACATGGTGAAAGTGAAGAGAAAAACAGGGTTCTGCAATGATTGTCTGAAACATTCACTGTTATCAGTCGTTATCTATGGGTACGTCTGCAGTGCAACACCCCTTATCCTTCCCCCTCCTCACCCCAGAGGAGCAAGTCTCAAAGCTTGGGTCAAATTGATTTGGGTTCACAGGGCTCAAGCTACAGGGCTAAAAATAGCCGCGTAGATGTTCCCACTCAGGCTGGAGCCCAAGCTCTGAAACCGAGCAAAGGGGGAGGGTCCCGGAGCCTAAGCTCCAGCCTGAACTCAAACGTCTACACTGCTATTTTTAGCCCCGCAGGTTGAGCCCTGCAAGCCAGAGTCAGTTGACCCAAGCTCTGAGACTTGCTGCTATGGGGTGTTTTGTTGTAGTGTAGAGGCACCCTGGGTGAGCCTGTGAAAAGGCATTAAGAGCTTTGTATCTCTACTGTAAAGGTTTTGTACTGTAATGTATTACAGAGCTTTTTTTACCTCAGCAGGAGCTGTGGTCTTTGTAACTTTATGGGTCTGCAGTGTCCATGTCTACCTCATGTAAACTGAGAATACGAACCAAATTTCTTTTCCCGTAACCAGTGTCTCAATAAACTTCTGAATTTTGCACAAAATACCATTTTCATTATTCAGTTCTGCCGCAGAAGGGGGCAGGGTAGAGGCTGCGGCTGTGCCATGCGGCTGGCCACCACTGTGAACTAGCTAACGGGGTTTTTGGGAGGAGTGGGGTGTTTGCTGGGTGAGGGAAAGGAAAACAAAAATAGGTAAATGGGCATGTGCACTCTATGGCGTGGGCCTAAAAATGGCCACTAGCCGGAGCTTTAGCATGAGACAGAGGCTGGTTGCCCAGCTGGAGCAGCCACCATTTTGGAAATGTGTATGGGGATGCTGAATGGACATCGTGGGGGGAGAAAGGAGGGCAGGTGGGGAGCCTCAGACTTGGAAAGGCTCCTAGCTCACATCTGCCTACAGTGCCTCTGGTCATGGGGCACCCAGAACAGAAGGTAGCATGGCAGTACAGCACAATTGTAAAGAGAGATACTTCCATGCTGAGATTCCCTCTGTAAGATCTGCCTCCTCAGTCCTGGCCTGAGTTGCTGCCTGGGACTTGGGGTTGGTTGCTGCAGGGTAGGAATCAGGCCCACCTTCTACCTGGTCGGTTTCAGGGTCCTGAGTCCTAAAAAGATCCTGGCTTTCCCAGGAAATCTCTACACTGGCCTCCTCATGCTCATCCTCTGATGAGCCCTGCTTGTTGCTCTCGGGAGAGAGGGGAGTGGCAGCAGACTTCACAACTTTCCTAGGTTTGGTGGTTATGTAGATGTTTAAAATCCTGTCCAACTCCTCAAAAAAATGGACAGGTTATATGTCTCCTGCCAGATGTTTTCCTGGCATCCCTGGTTTTAATACAAGTCCTCCTGAGCTCTTTGTTCCTTATCTGGCATTGGTTGGCATCCCAGTAATGATCCCTTTGGGACATCTGCTTAGCAATGTTCACAACGAGATCTTTATTCCAGTGGCTGGCCATAAGAGCTTTTAGCATCAATGCTTCTCCCCAGATGGCCATGAGATCCAGGGTATCAGCATGGCTTCAGGCAGCTCCTTCAGGCATATTGTAGGACTTCTGGAGTAATATCACAGTAATTGTGATATTCTCAAATCCAGGGAAATGGGCAAAATTTGGCCCTATACCAGCTTTAAATGGGGGAAGGGAAATCTGGTTAACTTGACACCAGAGCAGGAGAGGGCACACAGGTAAACAGACAGATCAGTGACGGTCGCCTGCAAAGCAGTGTGGGATAGCTGTTGGAGGACTGCCAAAGCAGTGCTCAGCAGCATTACGTGCACACAAACAATACACCAAACTAACTCTATTTGCAGCAAAGTTAGTGCACTTTGCAAGAGAACTCCAGAGTTTGAGATAAATGCAGAGTTAGTGTGCTATAATAGATTGTCTTGTGTATGCAAGCATTTTCAAACTGGATTATCTTGACTTAATCCGGTTTAAACCTCCTGTGTAGACAAGCCCTGTGCAACTTCAACTTCAAAAAACTTCAAAGAAACCTTGTTCGACAGTCAGGTTAAAGAATGCTGTTCAGACCCTGAAGGGATCACCTCCAACCTGGTTTAGCTGTAGTGGACAGGGCTTTGCAAGGTTTGTCGCAGAACTATATTAGTTGGGCCTCCCAGGAAAACCCACAGTACAAGGCCTGATTCCAAAAAGGTAAGTGTTTGCAGAGTGTGACATTTTCAAGCAGTAATGCTGGAAAGGTCTGAGTGAAAGTTAGGAATGATTGGTTTCCATGTTGTAGCTTATTGTTTGGTTTACTGGAATGGCAAAGGACATTTGAACTGCTTCCAGGAGTGCTAGTCTGAGTGCTCTCATGTGATACTAAAAACAGTTTAACTTTCTGTTAGTTGTGTTTGTGACAGTGGAACAGGAATATAAACTGATGCTTCCTTGTTATAAAATGGGCTTAATATTTGCCCTACTTCACAGGTATAGTGTGAGGCTTAACTAATTTTTGTAAAGTGCTTTGCTATACTTGGAGGAAAAGCTTGAAAGTTCAAATTATCCTGACCAGGTGAAACAAGTAAAAAACAAGTCCACTATGTGACCCGTGAAATTAAACAATTTTGTCCCTTGCTTACCCAGAGCTCTGCTTATTGACTAAACTGATACTATGTTCCTTATTTACAGTCATCCCATTAGCTGATTACTATATTATTGCTGGAGTGATTTATCAGGCACCTGATTTGGGATCTGTCATAAATTCCAGAGTGGTAAGTGTTTCTACTATGCATTTAGTTGATATAAAACAATTATCAGTTCATATCTGCTTTTATTTTACATTGTTCCCCCAACCCAATTCAAGAAATTTCTTCCCTGTTTTCTTCCATTTTGGGAAAACGAGATGTGTGTTAAATTTATTAATCTTATTTGGGTTATTGCTGATTATGTACTATATATATTGTATTACTTCTTAAACCTACCTTTGTACTTTTGAATAATTTAAGCACTATACCCAGATGTACAGACACTCCTTTCTTAATCTATGTATTATATAATTTTAACATTAGCGTTAATAAAATAAGATGACTAATCCAGTTTTTTATAACTACAATTCATTAAACCCTCTTCTTCCCTGCCCGGTCCTTCTCACTCCCCTTTCTTTCAATGTCTCTCCTCCCTTACTTTTTCTTTCCATTTAGCAGATCCCCTCTGAATTAACCTTCCCCTCACCAAAAAATAAATAAATTGTGGAACTAACATGCTGTTTGCTGCCATCGCATTGATTGCTCTGCTTTGCTTGTGTGTTCTACCCTTTCCCCTACCCTGTATCTGTTTTTTCTGTTTAGACTGTAAGTTCTTCAGGGCAGGGACGTCTACTACTTTGTGTGTGTACAGCACTTAGCACACTGGGGCCCCGTTCTTGGTTGGTTCTTAGTCACTAGTGTAATAATCTATTACTAGTAAAAATTACACTTTATACCGAGTACTCTACATTAGCAATGAAAGTGAAATGTTCCCAGAAGAGTATAGTGTGCCTTAATAGCTCTGACAGGCTGTTAGGGATGGAATAATCTTAATGGTTGAAAAAGGAGAGAGATTAAATTTTAAAATACTCAAAGGGACAATGTCAGGCTTAAAATTGCTAAAGAAATCTTTTAATCTAAGTTCCTAATTTAACTGAAAGATGTTAAAATGGAATTTGCATTTCACTATTGGTGCTGTTGGCACTTTTACGATCTTGGATACTAAAACTAAAATGGTCATTTTCACTTTCTGCTTTTCATGCCCTAGTATAAGTCTGCAAAACTTGTGTTGGATAGAAATATTTTTGAAAACTGTTTTCAAAGAATACAAAAATCACAAAAATATTTCTGTTCACACTAGGTTTTATAAAAGTCTGTCTTATAAACAAAATCTAAATGTTATTTCAAATAGCAACTGTAAAATAATTGCCTGATGGAGGGAAAAGCTACTTTAATGGTAAAACTACATTCCATAGTAGTTCACAAACTTGATTAGCTTTTTACCAACATACAGTGTTTTTTCATGTTCTACTCTATCAGTCACTATTTAGGTAATAGTATCTAGGCATAGACTTGGCTGTTCGTTTGTATTATATATTACTCTGTTAAATTCCAGAACATTTTCTTATGTTGACTTCTTCTGAAAGCTCACTGCAGTGCATGGAATTCAGTCTGCTTTTGATGAAGCCATGTCATACTGCCGATATCACCCTTCGAAAGGCTACTGGTGGCATTTCAAAGACCAGGAGGAACGAGGTATGATTTCTGGGCCCTCAGTGCATTAAGCAATTCTCCTTTTCTTTGGACTTAATACTTAAATTTTTAGCCAAAGTTTACTTTAGCATCCATAACTCCTATAACCAGTGTTCCCTCTAATTTTTCCCATGCATGTGCGGAATGAATTTTGTTATGTGCACCAGTATGGAGGTGATATGTGACTCTGGCTGGGGGTGTGGGCTCTGGGGTGGGGTCGGTGATGAGGGACTCATGGTTGGGGCAGAGGGTTGAGGACTCCGGCTTGGGGTCCGGGCTGTGGGGTGAGGCCACAGATGAGGGGTTTGGGGTGCAGGCTGCCCTGGGGCTATGGTGGGGAGAGAGGACTCCCCCCAGCTCTCTCTCCCTGCAGCAGCACCTGGGCTGGGGGGGAGAGGTGCCTCTCCTGACTGTGGCAGGTCCAGGGCTGCGGCCACAGGATAGCCACCTTGCCCCTGTCTGTGGCAGGTCCGGGCTGGGTTTGGGCCAGGGCACCTCTTCCCCCTCCATGGCAGGTCCGGGGCTAGGCTGGGTTGGAGCTGGGGCAAGGGTGCCTCTCTCTAGTCTGCAGTGGGGCCAAGCAGGGTTGGGGCAGGGGCACCTCTCCCCTGTCCGTGGCAGGGCCGGGCTGGGTTGGGGCCAGGCAAGGGGTGCCTCTGCCCAAGCAGATTTGGGGCTGGGTTGGGGTCGGGGGAGTGGCGCCTCTCCCCCGGCCGCAGCAGGTTGGGCTGGGGGGAGCCGGGGACGGGGAGAGGCATCTCTCCCCACCATGGCAGGTCTGGGGATGGGGGGGAGAAACATCTCTCCCTGCCGCAGCCCTGAGAAGAGAGAGAAGTGTGGGGAGGGGTAAAAGAAGTGAAGGAAAAGGTTAGGGGCAACACAGCAATGGTGTGGGCTTGAGGCCTAGCGTTGGCACCTGTAATTATTTAGAGGCACCATGCTAGGACTTCTGTGAGACTGGGAGGAAGTCTGCTTCACTCCCCTGCATCAACAGGGGTAAAAGTTGGGGCCTGGAGTAGGATAGAGAACGTTAAGCCCTGTATCAACAGGGCAAGCGAGTATTGAGCCCAAGGAGCGTTGACAGACATGTTTTGTTTTGTGGTTGGACTTTAATTTGGCCAGAGAGTGAAACCGTTATATCAGACGGGAGACTGAAGACTGAATTACCCTACTATAAGAGAGAAGACTGCAGTCCAAAGGGGAAATAGAGATAAACAGCAGGGGGGAAACTGAGGAATGGCCACACCCAGTGCCAGAAAGGACAACCCTCTACAGGAACGAAGAGCAGATAAAAGAGAACTAGAACTTCCATCATTTGATGTGATGTTGCATTTCAGCCTCTGTATATGATTTGCAGATAAAGCCAAACCAAAAGCCAAGAAGAAGGAAGAACCAAGCTCTATTTTCCAGAGGCAGCGAGTGGATGCTTTGCTTCTAGACCTGAGACAAAAATTTCCACCCAGATTTGTTCAGGTAATATAGTCATTTGTGTCTGCAGTGTTACTTCAGCATTAACATCAGGGCTCCTCAGGTGGACAACTTGTGGGACTTCACTGTACTTGGTGGAACGGTAGCATTGGTTGGAGTAGGAACTTTGAAAACAACAGGTTCTCTTAATGCAGAATGAAGAGGAAGATTCCATAGCATAGGTGAAGGAGTTACCCAAAATGTGCGCCGTAGCCTTGCAAAATTGCCATGAAAATTTACCAACCCAAGTGGATCAGGGTTTATCTCATCAGATGTCAAACCCTGCTGGCAACTCAGTTTTCCCATTACCACAGCCAAACAAAACTGACACAACTGATGTTTTGTATTTACTGTCACCTTCTGGGGACTGGTTTGTTGTAACATAAAACAGCTCAACCAGAAATTCTCAGCCCTCTTCTAGAGGCTCACTAGTTCATTATGCTCAGCAGTCCCTATTAAGAGCGTTGCTCCTGCCCCTCACTGCAGGTAGCTCCAGTCTGGCCTTTTTCTCTCGCTGCTTTGGAGGACTTCTTGGATCACCTGCGGAAGCTTTCCTGCAGGGCTCTCTTGCTGTCCCTGGCCCTCTCCCTGGGATGTAAGGAAAGTCTCTGTGTAGTAGGAACTCACACAACCTCCCTGCTCCTTTGTCTCTCCCTTAACTCAGCAAGCTCATTGAACTCAGGCTGTCCCTATTATCTCCCAGCATGCTCCAATCATGAACCCCCAACTCAATGCATTCATTCGGGGAGGTGGATTTAGCCTGGCACGAGAGCAGTGAGCCCCAATCCCCTTACAGGGCCAGCTCCCCCTGTGATACCAAGTTAAAAATCTACTCACCCACTCTTTACCAAAATGTCTGATGAGGAAAGAACTAACAAATGCAATTTATTTGCCTGTGGGGAAAAAAAATACTCTCCTTGACAAGTAGAACTTCTGCAGAGCTGGCATTGTGTATACAATTGCTGATTTAAAGAGACATGGTAAACATTTCATGAAAGCTGGTGATTCAATAGTTGGCATTCTTCCTGCTGAGTTAGTATTGAACCAGTGTCTCAGCAGCGTGGTGGAAGCCCTGCACTGGTGGAGGAAACTACCCTTGCTTGGATTAAATGTAAAGTAGGGGTCCTTCTAGTCAGATAGTTTTTTTGGAAGGTAAACATTGTTAGCCCCACCAGGCTGACCAAATTCCATTGTGAATAAATACACGCCCCACATATTTGTAGTGAATTCTTCTTCTCTTCCTATCCTAAGTTGTCATTGCCACATTCCACTTCAGAAGTGGCTGCATTTTATCCATTGGTGAAGTCATTCCTGTAAGGAACTGTGGGATTTTTTGTGATGAAATGCCCTATAGCAGCAGTTCTCAACCGCAGATTGCATGCGGCCCAATTAGCACACAGCTGTGTGCTAAAAAATTGAAAAATTGCTGCTCTGGTCTGGCAGGGGGTGAGGCTGGCTCAGGGGGAGACAGCGTCTGCCAGTCTGCTGGAGCGCTCCTGCCAGCAGGGGGCTGGTGAGTGCTACAGGGGGGCAGAGGGCAATAGAGTGGATCTCTTGGCAGGTTTGTGGGATTGGGTTCTGGGCAGTGAGGTGGTGGGGGGCGCTGGAAACGAGGGGCTTATGGGGGTGCTCCAGCACCCCCAGGTTTTAGGTGGGGCTCCGTTCCTGGCCCTGTACCGGGGGTCCCGGCTGCCTGGCCCTGGACGGGGTCTGAGTCCTGGCTGCCAGGTGGTGGGTCCCGGGGTGCTGGCTGCCTGGCTCCAGGTCCCAGCTGCCGGCTGCCTGGCCCCACGCGGCGGCGTCCAGGTCCCAGCTGCCGGCTGCCTGGCCCCACGCGGCGGGGTGCCAGGTCCAGGGTCCTGGGATGCCGGCTTCTGGGTCTGGGATCCCGGCTGCCCGGCCCCACATGGCAAAGTCTGGGGTCTGACTGCCAGTTCCCGTGCCCAGGGCTCTACTCTCTGGAGGGTCTCTGGGCAGGGGGCACTGGGAATAGGGTACTGTGGGAGTTTTTAGAGGGGGTGTGCTATGGTTCTCAGCCTGTGGCTCACGTAACACAATGTGGCCCACATATGCAGCCCACTATGATAAATAGGTTGAGAATCACTGATCTATACAGATATAAGGACACACTATTAAATACAATAGTTCAGGCCCAAAATTTGACCTATTGTTAAAATAGTTAGGTGGGGAATCATCCTTTGGATTCTACATACCTGTTTATTCCCCTTCTTAAGCCCACCACTCAGTCACCAAGAAATTACAAAAAAGACAGTGTTTCTGTAAGACCTAAAAATAAAATCATTTGACATCAACAGAGAAAGGCATTCTGTAAGTGCACGGTCTCTTGCAAAAGGTAGATAAGTATCCCCTGCACTGAGGGATAAACTGATGTGCAGAGAAGTCAAATAACTTGTCCAATGTCAAACAGCAAGACAGAGTGAGTCAGGGATGGAAGATATGTTCTGTCTCACAGTCTGTTGTTCTAACTACTAGATGTGATGCCTCCCATAGTCAGTATTTAGCACTATTGTGCTTCACCTGTTGTCCCTGCAAAAGCAGATTCTGAACAATATTCCCAAAGCTGTTCGGAAATAATATTATTGTGGCACAAACTACTAAGGAAATGCGCAGCACAAATTGACTTTCCTGACTCAATAAAATATATTTAAATGTCCGAGGCTGTGGGTGAGCTGTTGCCATTATGCACTCTGGTATTTTGCCTACAGTTGCTGCAATGGCTAGTTTCTAACTACTGTAATTGTTATAAAACATTCTGGAATACTTTGAGGAAGGCAAGCACTGGATTAGACCAGATTCTAATCTACTTCCAAATTCAAATACCTTCTGACACCGTGGGAGAAAAATAAATGTTTGCTCAGTGGGAAAGAACTGCATTGGTAGGGAAGTGCATTTCAAATTCTTAAAGTGGTATTGAAATAGAATAATACTTTCATGGAACCTGTCATCGGAAGGTCTAAGTATTTTACAAAAATTAATTACACCATTCATGTTAGGCAGGTAATAGGATACACAGGAATCACTTCAACCATAACTGAAATATAGCCACCTCTGGAGTGGGATGCAACTCAGTTGCAGCAATGTTGTGCGACATTTTACATCAAGAAATGAAAAATATTGACCCTGCCCATTGTTTTAGTGGTTTATCTGATCAGATCATTGCAAAGAGTAACAAGACTGCAAGCAAATAAATAAAATTACCAAAAATAATTAATTACAGTCATAGTCAAGGCTTGAGCAGAGAGAGAGCATAATTCATGTGGGATGTCCTATGAAACATTCATAACAGCTATCAAATCCCCCCTCATTCTTTTCTTCTGTCCTGCAGAAGAGAAGAATGAGGGGGGATTTGATAGCTGCTTTCAACTACCTGAGAGGTGGTTCCAGAGAAGATGGTTCTAGACTATTCTCAGTGGTAGAAGAGGACAGGACAAGGAGTAATGGTCTCAAGTTGCAGTGGGGGAGGTTTAGGTTGGATATTAGGAAAAACTTTTTCACTAGGAGGGTGGTGAAACACTGGAATGCGTTACCTAGGGAGGTGGTAGAATCTCCTTCCTTAGAAGTTTTTAAGGTCAGGCTTGACAAAGCCCTGGCTGGGATGATTTAATTGGGGATTGGTCCTGCTTTGAGCAGGGGGTTGGCCTAGATGACCTCCTGAGGTCCCTTCCAACCCTGATATTCTATGATTCTATGAAACTACCTGCAAAGCCCCAAATATTAGCTAACTGCATGAGTCAAAAGAGTAGCTCTAGATTCAAATGGTCTGAACTCATTTTCTGTTCTTTACAAAATTTGATTCTCTTTTGCACTGGTGGATATGCAGACATCTTGAGCCATATTTTACAGCCAAGGAAAACAGGCATTAATGACTTGAAAGGGATAAGGTTCTTTGCATGACTGGAGAATAAAACATTTAATTTTTGTGTGCTGTTAATTTTCCATATGGATTAGAATTTAATTAGTGCTTCTGGAAGGCTTGCTCGTCACTCTTCTCTTGTTTGACATCGCCATGATGTTCCGATTCATGTGAGGCCTTTCCTCATTGATATCCCTCAGAAGCCCTCTTGCTGAAAGTATTCTACAGCAAAAGATGATATTTTAGTCAGTGCTAGCAAAGGATGATAATAACAAAGCTCCAGTTCATCTGACTTTCTTTTCTTCTTTTTTGATAGCAAAAGCCTGGAGAAAAGCCCATCGCAGGTAAGAGATCTCACATATTACAAGATTTTTAAAAGGAGCCCAAATCCAGGTGTGATATAGGTTCAGTTGTGAGGCTGAACTAACTAATGGGCTTGCTGCTGCTGAAATTGTTGGGAGTTTTGTCATTGACTAATATGAGAGCAAAATCAGGCTCAATATGGGCCTAATTTTTCTAGGTGCCGGATGGGACTTCACCTCTGTGCTTAGGCTGTATGATGTCCCATCCCACCCCTTGCCTTCTGGAGACTGTCCCCTGTGCAAGAGGCCCCACCCCTCTAAGGGAGCTGCTGAGCCAAGAGGCCCCAAATCAGGAGATGCTCTTGGGGAGACCAATGGCCAGGTTGATTCTGCATCTTGGTGATTTTGCATCAGGGCCATTGCAGGAGGGCTGCAAGCTAGGGCATCTCAAGGACTGCCTGAGGGGGTTGTGCTGGTGTTCGGCAACCTCAGAATAGGGAAACTGCAAGGTTTCTCCTCCCAGTCCCTGTACCGTGGCAGCCATGAATCTAGTCCTGAATGTCTCCTGCACAAGTATTGACTGGCTTCTATTCTCTTAAACTCCATTATCTTTTCAAAACAACCTGAAAAGAATTTGAAAAGAAATGTAAAACCCTTAATGCTGAGTTATAATTTATTTGATGGTTTGTTTTTTATTAAGTGGATCAGATCAAGAAGGAGCCAGAACCAGCCCCTGAAGCTATAAAGCCCGAGGAGAAGGAGACTGTAAAGAATGCCCAACAGAGTGCTGGCACTAAAGGGCCCCCAGAGAAACGGATGAGACTCCAGTGAAGGGATGGACAATTCCATATCTCGATGATTCAACGTCTGGAGAAGAGTTTGCAAGTGACTCCTACTCCCCCTTATCTGTATTCGCACGTTCAGGATTGTGACACTGCAGGATTTAAAGCCCCTTGCAACAGCTTCTTCTCTCAGCAGAAACCTATTTAAAAAGCTGCCAATGGAAAGACTTGAGCTGCACCGGGAGGGGATTTTTCAGCCTTCTCCCCATTTTGGATGTTAGCTTCTGGCTGAATTTCACATGAATGCGTTTTGCAACTTCCTTGTAAAACTCCCTTTTTTTTTTTTATGTCCTCGGGTAATTGTGTGTTCTATGTAAAAAGTTGAACTTTTTAATAAAAAGTTGAATTCTTGGTACACCAACATTTGGCTGTTGAAGTGCCTTTCTTGCTTACTCTCTTGATTACTTAGGAAATGGCTACTGAATATGCTGTGTGTGCTGGTAGTGGATTTCACTTGAATGTCAGGGTATACCATGATATTATGCATGTTAACCTTTCTTGAGGAAGGTGAGTGTTTCCTATGGCATTAAAGGATTTACGCTGCCTGCTATAAACTGCTGTGCCTGTTAGAATGCTGGGATATAGATCAAAAAAGTTGGGTAACTGGCAGGGCTGAATCCATGTAATTGGCAGTCAACCTTTAGTTTGCTCTCATTCTTTTAAAATATTTTTTGCCTTCATACTTACCATGCCATCCCATTTCACTTAAAGAAAAAGAATCACTGGCCTGTGTGTCTCATTTGTTTGGATAGAGCTGTCCTTGAAATCGCTTGCCCTTCTTGGTCTTTACTTAAGATTGTTTTAATTTATTGGATCACTCTAGCTGTTTTCTGAGAGGAAAAAGATTTTCCAACTTCTTTTCTCCTTCCTAGTCTTCTTACAGTGTAGTTGACAAGATACTAAACAGCAGAAGAGCAAGGACAAGTGCCCTAAATAATGGACAAAGTTTAAATGTCTCTAATGCAAGCTAGAGTGTGCTTGGATGGGCTGTAGTGTCAGACTCCCTGTCATAAGTATAAAGGAAAGGGTAGCAACCTGTATACAGTACTATAAAATCCCTCCTGGCCAGAGGCACAATATCCTTTTACCTGTAAAGGGTTAAGAAGCTCAGGTAACCTGGCTGGCAGCTGACCAAAAGGACCAATAAGGGGACAAGATACTTTCAGATCTGGGTGGGGAAAGGTTTTTGTCTGTCTGTTCTGTGTGCTTGCCGGAGAGAGATCAAGAAAGCAAGCAATCCAATTCCATTAGAATTAGTAAGTACTAGCAAGGAAATGCGTTAGTTTACTTCTGGTTTGGCTTGATTTTTCTCTGTGCTGAGAGGAAGGTGCATTCCTGGTTTTCTTTTTGTAACTTTAAAGTTTTTGCCCAGAGGGAAATTCGCTGTGTTTTAAATCTGATTGCCCTGTGAGATTAGCTTCCCTTCTAATTTTACAGAGGTGCTGCTTTTACCGTTTTTCTTTCTAATAAAGTTCTGTTTCTTTTAAGAGCCTGACTGATTTCTCTATGGCCCTAAAACCCAGGGGTTTGGGTCGGTGATCACTTTGTAACCAATTGGTTAGGATATTATTCTCAAGCCTCCCCAGGAAAGGGGGTGTAAGGGCTTGGGGCAGCCGCGGAGCCAGGTGGAGGGAACAGGGGGAGCGATCCAAAAAAAAGGCACCACCCGCTGTGGCGCTTTTACTCACCCAGCGGCTCTCCAGCAGCAGGCTCTCACTCGCGCCGGGTGTCTTCGGCACTGGAGGTGCCGCCAAAGACCCGGAGCGAGTGAAGGTCCCACCGCCGAGGTGCCGCCGAAGACCCGGAGCGCCGCCGGGTGAATAAAAGTGCTGCTGCAGGGGAAAATTTAAAAGGCGCCAAGACATTGACAAGGCGCCACTTGTGCTCAGTGGGGGAGTGGCTGCTCCCCCGCTCCCCCCCTAGCTACGCCACTGGCTTGGGGGGGATATTTTGGGGGAATAGGAACTCCATGTGGTCCTTTCCCTGATTCTTTGTTAAATCATTTGGTGATGGCAGCGTACCCTCCAAGGGCAAAGAGTTTGTGCCTGGGGTAAGTTTTACCCTAAGCTGGTAGAAATAAGCTTAGGGGGTCTTTCATGTGGGTCCCCACATCTGTACCCTAGAATTCAGAGTAGGGAGGGAACCCTGACACACTCTCTCTCAGCTCTAGACTATCAGAGGCATGGGACGCTGTCAGTAACTGATGATCAGTTTTGATTGGGTAGCAGTGAAATAATGGAAAATATTTAGGATCATATGACACTGTCTTGACCTATATGATTTTGTCTGGTTAATCTAAGGTTTTAATATTCAATATGTTAGGATGGGGTGGGCAAACTTTTTGGCCCGAGGGCCAAATTTGGGTTGTGAAACTTTATGGAGGTCCAGGTAGGGAAGGCTGTGCCTCCCCAAACAGCCTGGACCCCACCCCCTCCCACTTCCTGCCCTCTGACTGCCCCCCTCAGAACCACTGACTCATCCAACCAGCTTCTTGTCCCTTGACCACCCCCTCCCAGGACCCCTACCCCTAACCACCCCCCAGGACCCCACCCCCTATCCAACCTCACTGTCACCTGACTGCCCCGACCCCTATCCACAGCCCCACCCCCTGACAGGCCCCCCAGGACTCCCACCTCCTATCCAGCCATCCCCTGACTGCCCCCCGCCCCGAACCTCCGCCCCATCCAACTGTCCCCTGCTCCCTGTCCCCTGACTGCCCCCCTGGGACTCCCTACCCCTTACCCCAACCCCCCACCACCACCTCGCTGCTCAGAGCAGCAGGAGCTCGCAGCCATGCCACTGCCCTGCCCGGCAGGAGCGGCAGGCCAGAGCGTTGGCAGTGCATTGTGCTGAGGCTGGGGGGAAAGGGGGACAGCAGGGGAGGGGCAGGACGGTCCCGTGGGCCGTACTTTGCCCACCTCTGTGTTAGGATATATAGGGAAATATAGTTGCATTGTTGATATATCTATAGATATAAAATTGGCATGTTGATGTAGTGGTAGTTGGGAAAAATTCATTGCTATCTTAACTCCATTCAACCTGGGTTGAGTTTAGACTGTTACACTTCCTAACAATCTTTTTTCTTTAACATATGGATACTTCAAACTAGCATGAGCTTCTAATTAAAATGATAGAACTAATGCTAAAGAGGAGAGAAAGGTTTGTTATTCCTTAGTGTATTGGAAACATAGTTTGGAGACTTTTGTTAAATGGGTTGACATACCTAAAGAAGTGAATGCAGTTAACCTAATTCAACAACAGAAGGATTTGTGGTTCTTTTTCATGTACTGGAAGATTTACTTTGGATAGTGGGATGCTTAGAAGTCACAGTAGAATTTATTCCACTTTGATGCAATCCTCTGTCTATTCACTACGTGTCTTCCAGCTTCTGCAACAGGTGAACAGGGCTCTTAGAGAAAGACTCCTTCTCTACACAAACCTGATCCATCCCCCAAGTTGCTACATTCTGTGCACAGAGTCCAGGGTCCTGTGGGAAAAAAAAATGTAATCGTGGAATACTGTGTGCACATGGGTGACTGAATGAGGGTCGCACAAGCAATCTAAATTCTGGCATCTCCTAAGTTTTGAGTGCTTGACTTTGCAAACTTAATGCTCTTTTAACATAGGGTTTGGGATATTTTTGTAACTAAGTGTTTTTAAAGATAAACTGAACACTCCAAAATGTGATCATGTGGATTCATACTGACACCCCCCCCACCAGTTCATCGGCAGGGTAAGAACTGTTAGATCCACTGCATGGATCCCCGCCAGTTCATCCCAGCCCCAAACTCCTATCATCAGGCTTCTCATCCCAGTTCCAGGTCTCTTCCCTCACCCTGACTCCTTGTCAGATCTCTCTCCTTCCCTTACCCCACTGATTCCTGTTCCCAGCCTCCCTCCCGTTTAACTCCCAGTTTCCCATTTCCCACTCCCCACCAAAACTGCTTGTCCAAATCCACTTCCCCTGCCCAGATCTAGCTCTTGTCCTCTGCATTTGAGTCAGGCAGTTTCCTCCCTGGTGTCAGCATGAGGAACAATGAAAGCACAGGAGAGAGTTGCCCTGTTTTCAAGTTTCAGTGCCCAGACCTGGCTAGCCTAGCCCACAGCAGCAGTGGCAGTAAAAATCCTGCTGATCTCCCAGCAGTCCTGGGCTAGAGCATACTTGGTACAGACAATATTTGGGGAATCTAGCTGAGTAGCTCTAGGAACTGTGATTTTTTCAAGAGTTTATAACTTTGCAAATTTTCATGGGGGTGGCAAAAGGCTTAGCCCTGACAAAGGTCCCCTCCCTACCAAATTTCATATCCATATTTCAAAGCAAGGGGACACTACAGCTATTTTGAAAAAGGTTGCCAGATTTTTTCAATGTAGGCAAAATCTATTTTTCTCTAACCGTATTGGAAAGAAATGAATTGTGGGCTGAAATTTTCCAAAATTACAGCTCAAACAGTTAAAGTTTGGCACAATTATAAGCAGCTGGAAACAGGGTTTTGTAATGGGAAGTGCCAGACAACCTTAAGCAGTGTTACTAACCTTGCCTATAATAAAGGAGCCAAAATTTAGAATGAGAAATAATCCAACGAAGGTCCTGGAGAAGACCACTAAAAGTTGTTACAGACTTAAAGCCTGCATCCTGCTGAGAAGTGCTGAGCATCTTCAACTCCTCTCTGAAACCAGTGGGAAATCAATAGTCAACACCTCACAGAAGCAAATCATAAATACTACCGTGAGCTGGGCAAGCTAGCTGTGATTATGTACCAAGATAATCCATCATTTAATTAAAACGATGGGAACAAATTTGAAATACACAAGAGGGAGGCACTTTATATGTAGAACAGATGATGGCATGGTAGGGTCACAAGTTTGGCTAGACTGTATTATGGCTTCTGGCAATAAAGTCTGAACAGCACAGTAAGCCCTTCTGTATTCTATTTACACTTTATATTTTTGTCCTACTCCCATCTTCCTTTCCCATTTTCCCACTTCAAAATACATTACTTACTATGGAAACTATATAATTAGTATGGGTGGAGCTTACTGACAACCACGAACTCAGAATACAGTTCATTTTATATCATGGTTTGGGATGTAGATTGTGAATATTAATGGCGTTTGATTTTTCCTCCCTCTGTGTGGTATAAATAAATGTATATTCTATCTTCTATCTAGATTTATCACATTCCTCTTATTTATCTATTTGGTTTGGTTCTACTATAGACAGATTGCTTTTGGCAGCTTTTGCATCCCATCATATAATGTAAATCTTTGTATTTACATACAAATATTTGTATCAATGTTAAACAAATTACAGTAAATTTTTAAGGCTTTTATATTCATTGCCAGGACCCAAAGATTGTGAGGTT